CCACCTGTGTTGCCACTTGCAGAAAACTTCACTATTCATGTATCACTCTTATTTCTGCAACCAGATAGATCACCAAAGCAAACAATATTTTGTCGGTTTGAATAATTCAACGCACCCATTGTCAGGAGTGTAAATCTCGATGTAATACGTAATCGAATCTAAAATGATTTTATGACTGTTCAAGTCATGATTACTAGAAGTAAATTTTGCGGCCTAAATATGCGGCTAAGCGTGTCGTTCGACTCTTTTTGGTTACCAAGTTGACAGTATTGTTGATATCCAAAAACCGAAAATCTAGCCACAATAAGTCCCGAAACACAAGCATCCATGGTTAAAATCAGTAGAAGCAGTCAAGTTCGGGCATTGTTAAGACTAGAGTTGAGCACCGATGAATTGACGCCATGGTCTGTCTTATGGCGAACAATTTTGGTGGCTTTATCGTGGCAACGAAGACAATATGCGGCTATTCAACACGTAACAACGGTCCGAGGTAATTTGGTTTTCGTCGGAGCCTGTATCAATGAACAAGCTCTACTTGATCAATTCCGTGTCAACAACGCTACTGTGCATCGTCACCATCGGCTCGTCAGTCTTGCTAGGCTTTTGGTGTTAAACGGCAGCCGGCATCCTCTCTGCACATCGCCAGCACCGTTGAAGTCCTAGTTTGAGCCACGAAAACGAATGAGAACCCCGCGGTCCTGTACAAACAGCCAAGCAGCACTGCATAAGAAGAAGCAGTGCTTCCGGATCGCCTCTAGGAAAACAAGGATCGAACAATGTCATGAACGTAAATAGGGGACAAGACCCCACCTGTTTGGCAGACGGCTACCAGAGCACACCCAGTTCAGATGGCCATACGACGGCATCAAAGAACCTCGGAGGCAATCGTAGCATATGGCGACATCTCGGTAAATGTCATAGTCGACTTTTGTCACATAGAACCGTTGAATTGCGGGTGAATTACGGGCTGGGAAGGGCAGGTCCGATTGCAAATGAACCCCGAGGCACTTTCCCGTTCTTGGACACTCGGAAGAGAAAGGCGAAATCGCGGCACGAGTCGCAGAGTGGGAGCCGAACAAACGCACAGGATGGTGATAAGAGATCGCACGTTTAATTTGCATTTTGCCGTGGATTTTGTCCGATTAGTCTCTTGGGGTGATGTGGTACTTGCACGCTCTTGCATCTCACATTGTTGCCCAGCGTACCGTTCCTTCCTCTTTCGGAGTTCGCATCATTGTGCCTGTATTCATATCGCAACACGAGGTCGTTCGCACCTTCCCCATCTCACATGCAAGTCGCTGCGCTGAATTCTTAAAATAGGGGCTTGAAAGTGAAGGTGCAACGAAGGGGAAGCGAGTTTGTGTTGGCTAAAGCCGTTTATTTCAGCTCCTCCTTGTCGATATAATGCTAGCAAGAGAGCGTCGTAATCAGCGGTGATGCTGCTCTTGTTGCATCGCTCCTTCTTTAATTGAAAGGCGTGTGAGGCGCGAATAGACGGTCGTACTGAGTCATTCACTTACACACCTGAATTGGCAAGTGGGGCATGGCAGCAAGCTTCCTTCCTCGCTGGGTGCCGGTGGACGGAGTAGTGCAAGGCGGGCAGGTGCGACGCACGCAAAACGGTTTGCCCAGGACGGGGTACAGAAATGCAGACACAAAATAGCAAGCAACACAAGTAGCGTCTCAGCCCTGTATGGTGTACCTACGCAGCTACGTCGGTCGACGAACAAGTGTCAAGTATTACTTCGTTAAGCCTTAAGTCTACCCCTCCACACTTTTGCGCCAAATTGGTGCCCGTCCGCCGTTGGTTGGTCCTGTACCTTCGGGAAGGTCCCTTGCACGCCAATCAAGACAAGGACGAGACAGTTCGACCTACAATCCTGTTCCTGCCAAAATATGTACGAGGGGTCGAAGGAAGGTACGATGCTACGGAAGTTTTAGGGAAACGAGGAAGCTGCGTCCCACAAATGGCACAGATTTGGGGACAAGGGGGGAAGAAAACGCACTGCGAAATAAGGAAAGAACGAAGCACCTGTTCTCTTTCTTTTGCAAGGGAGGAAAGAGGGAAGGAGAGAAAGAAAGACACAAAAAAGGGTGACGGAAAGGGAAGAAAAAAGAACACAGCGGAAGCTCCAGGAAAGAGCAAAGGGTGCGTGCAGAGTGCGCAAGGGAATGAACGATGAGGAAAGGACCCGAAAAAAACGTAGATCAAATTACCGAGGGGAAGAAAAAGAGAGACACGCGGAGATGCGCAAAAACAGAAACAGGGGCTGCGGTATCAACAACGAGGAACGCCCGCAAAAGAATAGAAAGAAGACTGCGACATAGAGAAGTGAACGCACGACAAACACGCCCGCAAACGATACAGTGTGAACGGCTGATAGACCCAGGGCCTGCTATCTTGTCACAACAAAGGGTTGTCTTGGTTGACAGGCAAAAAAGAAGGAAAAAGAAGAAGAAGAATGCAGAATGGAACGAGACGTGCACGGACGCGACAGGGGTTGCCGAAACCAACAGAAGAAGAGAGAAAGGCAAAGAGTCAACAGCCTAGAGGCATTTTGTCACAAGCAGACGCTCGAACAAAACCACAGTGAATCAGCAATCCTTCAGAGGACGACATGCAGAGTATAGTAAATAGCGGCACCCCTGCGCCAGTGCACAATTTTTTGGCCAGGCTACTGACCGAGTTCGCTGAGGTGAGCTACAAAGCACAGAGGACATGGAATGGAAAAGGTGGTGGTTGACGGGACTCGTCGACCAAAGGCGAACGGCCAACCCTGAATAGGAAATTTCGAGGGGAAAAAGGCGATCGAGGAGGAGACGACACCGAAGCGACTCTGGCTTGAGAACTGGGATGCTCCGACAGCATCCTTTCTTTCCATGTGCGCGAGCTGTGATAGGTTCACCACGCCCATTTTCCCCAAGGCAGCCGATGGCGCTTCACACCCTCTTCCCTCTTTGCTTCCCCAGGAACCAACCATTTCCTGGCCGTCCGAAGGCACACCGTCCAGGCAGACACGCGAAACTGGCGCCAGGAGCCAAGCATGACGGGGCTCTGATCTTCGACGAAGTGAACACAGAGGGGCAGCAATGCCCTCTGAAGCACAGCAACACAGATTAATAAGAAGCGATGGACAGCCCCCTGGTCAAGGCTCTTGCTTCGCCCCGTACACCGTTGTGAGCCTGGCCAGAACCGACCTCACAAGGCAAACGTTTGGTCGTTGGAACACCTCTGGTCTGCCGGATGCTCGCAAACAGCAAGCCGTTTCTGGTCGAATCGGACCAAATAAAAGGCAGCAGCAGCCGCTCGACCGTTGTTTTCTTTCTTCTCCCTCACCTGTCGTCGACGGTCGTTTGAGCTGTTGACGGTCTCGACTCAAGATCGCAGTGGGACAGCACAAATCCCAACACCTCGCAGCCACCAAAACGCCTATCTCCCACCGCCCATCCCTGTCGCGGGCCCTCCCAGTTCCCTGCAGGTTGCCTCCACTCCTGTGCGGCATCCCGGCCCTTCCCTCTTCCCTCAAAGCCCACCACACCCTGCACAGTCGACTCGCAACACTTTCTCGACTTTGTCTGCCGTGATCCAGTCGCCTTTTTTCCCTTTCCGAGCAGGCTGTCCTGTCCTGACTTCGCCCACACCTCATCCACACTCTCGCGCAATTGTTCCCGCACCCCCCCACCCCGGCTTCCTTTCTCCATCACTTACAGCCAAACTTCTTCTTCCGGAAGAAAGAAAATACAAAGGCGCCGCTCTTTGCTCCTGCGAGCTTGTCGCTTGTCCGCTTGTTCTCCGAGTGACTCGTCTGCCTGGCGGTTTTCCGTCTCAACAATCTTTTATCTCTCGCTCGATTCGCTGACTTTCAATTACTGCTTCAAACCAAATTCATACTATCATCTCCCTTTCTCATCTTCTTTCTTTTTACATGCATTTCTTTTCTCTTTCATCCTCACTTACTTTCAGTCCAAAAGACCCAGAAAAGGGGCTCCCCTGGTCTCCTAATAATACTGATTTTTTTTTCTTCGCCGCATTAGGCTCAATCCCTGTCTTATACGTTGGAGCCCAACCACTTTATCCATTCGCAGCCTTGCCGCGTCTGCACAGCCCAACTGCGCACTATTCGGCGCCCAATTTACCATTTCCCCTGGTCCTGGCCCTCGCACATTTCTTGCTCACCTTCGTGCTGTCCTTATTGGGACCTCGAGAGTGCTTTGAGTGCTTAGAGTACGGACCATCAGTACTTCAAAAATATTCGAGTTCTCGCTACTGTTGTCGCCTTTTTCGTGCATAACCGGCCAATCCCTCCGTCAAGTTGCGCTGGTCAGTTGTTGTCCGTCTGCCCAATTATACACGCTTCTTACAATCTGCCTTTTTTCTTTTTCTACTCACTTTCTTTTCTCTTCCTCTCGTTCTCTGCATGCTTTCCCCACACCTGTTTTTTCTCATTCTATAGAAAACCTTCTTAAACCCTTGGGCATCTTTGCAGCTTGCAGCTTGCCTTTCTCCCACCGAGTTTCTTCTAGTTCTGCATATTTCCTCCCCTCTCTTGGCTGCACTCTTTTTATTCCATTTTTTTTTGGACTCTCTTTCTCTGCTTACGCTCACCAACCATCTGTCTCGCTGCGTTTGTCCGACCATCCAGTAACAGCCACGCCATCTTGCGTCTCGATCTTTCAGTGTGGTCGCCATTTTTTCGCCGCGCACAAACAAACCACACCATTCCCCAAACACACGTGCGACACGACGCATCTGTACATACACACGATCGGCAAGGAGCAAATCCCAGAGAAAGGGCACGCCCTAAACTAGCTCGCACACCCGTTGGACGAGAGACTGAGGAAGATTGAGCGAGAGCTAGAGAGCGAGAGACGGCTACATACGCATCCACCAAGCCGAGCTTCTACAAGATCACAACGACACACCACCAACCCACGCTTGCCTTTGCGGCACACCATATTTAGGATCTGGACTATCCCACTTTCGGACCACTGCCGTCAGGATGTCTGGAAGGAGAGTCAACTTCCGCGAATCGCCGCCGTCGAGCGCCGTGTCGTCTCGCTATACGAGTGACTCGGGCCACGGCTCGACGACCGACACACCCAGCAGCCACCAATGGACCGACCTTCCCTCCCTCCAGAACTACTGCCGCACTCTGCTTGCGGAGAGAGAAGGCTGGAAGAAGCAGGTCAACGAACTGGAAGACAAGCTCGCAGAGGCCGAGGCCAAGTGGCGTGCCGTAGTTGAAGCCAATGACAAACTCGAAGGCGAGAAGAAGACACTGTCCAAGGAGAACGAGGAGAACAAGAAGTACATTGACAAGCTCGAAGACACCATCCATGACCTCAACATGCAGCTCGCGGACTCCAACGCACGCCTCAACGAGATGCAGCACAATCCTGCCTATGCAACACCCGGCACCAGCCCTCACCACCTCTCGGACCACTTGGGGCATGCGGACGCCAAGTCCGTGTCTTCGAGCTCGAGACACGCCAAGGAGGGAAAGACATCGTCGTCGTCCAGCAAGAGCAGCAGCAATGCCGGCAGTGGCACCAGCTCCGGTGGCAGCAGCCACAACAGCTCGCGCGCCAAGGTTGGCAGCAGCAGCAGCACGAGCACGGCCAAGGTGTCACGCTCCAGCAGCAGCCGCCACAACGGCAGCGACCACCAGTCCGCCAAGGACCAAAAGGCCCGCCTCTCACAGCGCTTCGATCCCAAAGACGACGGCCTCGTCGGCAGCAACGCGTCCGCCTCCTCGGCCGCCTCTTCCTCGTCTCAGAAACATCACAAGAGCGGGAGCAGCGGCAATGGCAGCAGCGGTAGCAACGGAAGTAGCACCAGTGCCGAGAGCGGCGGCATGCGGCCGCCGTTGCGAACACGCCGTGGCAGCTATGTCGAAGGATACGGCCCTGGGCCAAGTTCTCTGGCAGCAGCCGGCTTATCGACATCCCAGCGCTCGCCCATCTCGCCCAACAAGGGCGTGCCCCGCTCAGCACAGGCACCCAGCGTCATGACCGTTGCTGGGGGTCCTCCACACGGTGGCTACTACACCCACACTGGCTATGCAGCGCCGCCCCCAGTACATCCGTATGCTGGACCGCCAACATCGTCCTCTGGGCTCATGTCGCCGCGTGGTGAAATGGACAAGGACGGCATGCGGCCAACTGTCCATCTTTTGAACGAGATGACCCTCGACCCGGCCCAGGACCCGAACTACTACAACGCGTATCCTTCCGCCCGCGATCCGCGCTACGATCCCCGCCTTTCGCGCCGGTGACGACGACACTGATAGTCATAGTCCTACGTTTGTTTATACCTGTCACAGTTTACGCATGCAACTACGCGTCGCACTTTTATTCCGCTTGGACCGCTGGAGCTTATGCTTACGCCCTTTTTTTCCTGTTTTACTGTTGTATTTTTTACCTGACTTTTCTTGTGGCTTCTTTTTCGGCTTTTCCATTTCACAACACCCGTTTGCTTGTCATATCCCCCATTTTCGAGTGAGACTCTTTACATTCGGTGCAACGCGAGTGGCCGTTGCATTTCGTACGACGAGGACGACAACGGCAACGTTCAACAACGACAGTGTAACAAAGGCAGGGGTAGGATGTGATGGGGAGAAACAGTGCAGAATTGGTACACAGCGGCGTTTTTTTTTTTTTTGGTCTCGGTTTGCATTTTTCACCATTATAACCTCGATTATAGACTAAGGGGAAGGCATGTACAACAACCATCACAACCATTTTCATGTATTCGGTTTAAGAGGATGGCGAGGTGGAAGGCCCAAAGTGGCAAAGAGAGATACCACGTCATGTCATGTTGCTCCATAAGATGTCAACCATCTACAAAGGGATGCTTCTTTTTTTCCTTTTTTTTCTGTTACAATACCTGTCCGCTACTGACGTTGTTTTCATATTTTTGTACTGATGGTTGTTTTGCTAGAGGATGGACGTCAAGGGAACATACAATTAGATAAGAGGAGGAGCACAGAAGATAGATTATGGGCCTTCAAAGGTCGCATTTTCTTCACAGCGGAAATCTAAGGCCAACGCCATCGCTTGGACAACTTTTATACGGATACCCCACAGGATGATTGTCATGTTGAAAATCGGCACAAAACCTTCAACACTCAATTTTGTGCCCATTCTCACTGACATCAAGTGCCCTTTTTTGGTTCACTCTTCATAGACGCAAAGGCAACTTACACCGAAAATGGCTGCCTTCGTTGGCTTGCCACACCAAAATACAAAACATTGCACTAAATTTGTCATATTCACGGCCCCCGGGCAGCACAAGTGAATTATGCGTATCATTTGATTTTCTTCCGTCGCTGCCCATAGCCTTGTGACTGTTCGTGCAGGACGCCTGCCCAGGCAGCAGTAGCTGGCCCACCCCCCCTCGATAACAAGTTTCCGGCGCCAGCCATATCAACCGCCCCCCCCCCCTTCTCGCATATCCAGACATGTTGAAATCGTCCAAAGAGGGAGTCTTTTGTCGGAATGCAACATTAAATTCCTTCGGACCAAAAAAAACAAGGAGATCCATCGCCAGAGCCTGCCGTTCCCCGCTCAAATCGTGGATTGTTGACATTCTGACCAGCTGGCCAGTCATTGGACAAATGTAAACAAAAACTGCCGTGTCGGACGGGTTCGAGCCGTCTTTTGCGTCTCTCTTGGTAGCGACGCGATGGGTCCGCCTAAAGTGTGCCAGAAACCAAGGAACCATGCCAGGCCCAGCAGTGGCGGGCGCCAACCAGCAGTCCGTCCCCAAGACAGCGTCCGAACATCGGCCGGATTCACATGCCGTAATGCTGTCTTCACGTTGGGACGCGTCAAGGGGACGATCTGTGTTGCATCGGCATGACTTGATAATATTTGATGTGACCATCACAAGATCTTTCGTCGTTGCCTGGTTTGCCGACGACAAAGTGCCACCCGGCATGATGGCATGATGGCATGATGGCATGATGGCTCGTCGTATGTCAAGTCAGTCTGACCAGTCGTTCACCTGGCAAGGTAAACTTGGATTGCACGAGCAAAACAGTTCACCTCTCGCCAGGTGAATGTAACAATGCTTGTATCGTACTGCAACGGAAAGTTTGCACTTTGACCTTTATACCGGTAATAGAGAGATAATGAAGAGCAAAAGACAGCTTTAATTACGCTTTATGGGATATCTAACATTGTCTTCTTAAGCAAAATAACTGCCCTTTGTTTGCGAGCATAAAACTATTGTGCACAATACTGTGTTTTCAGTAAGAAACTCCTCTCCAGATACCGCCTTTCCAGTCGCCGCTGCCAACAACCAAAATAAAACATAGGCCAGAATAAACCACACCAACGCCGATCAAAAGACTGAAAGAATAGTAAACAAGATAGAGGACAAAGTAAAACAGCAAAGCCCCCAAATAATCATCAGTAGACATAATACATGAAACGAAGAAAACGGTACCCAAAAAGTACATAGTCGTAAAGACAGAGAGGCTCGAGGTGCAAACCAGAAAAGAAGAGTAAAAGGCGAAAAGACGATATAACAAGGCTCGACAAAGGTGTGGTAGCCAACGGGATAGGACGAAAGTCAGCGTTTTTCAACTATCCACTTCAGAACCTATGTCGTGCCCCTTTGGTGGACGCCTTTAATAGGCGCGCTAATTAGGAGGCGAGGCCAGCAGCCGACGCAAGACAGATTCTTCCGAGGCGTCTTCCTGTTGCTCCTGCTTTAGATTCTGCTGTTGCAACATCTGCTGCGATATGGGTGTAGGTGCCTTCACAGCAGTGGCGGGAGTAGCATTAGGAGCTACAGCGGGAACAGGTGTCGAGTTGGTAGCGGCAGGGGCGGATGCAGCGGCGTTGGGAGCAGGAGCCGGGGCTGGTGAAGTTTTGTTGACGGCAAGACCGGAAGCACCGTTAGCGGACACTGCAGAGGCGGATGGCGTAACCTTGGGGCCTTCGGTGTGAACATGTTGCTGAAGCATCCAAAGACGATCCTCCGGTTGCTGAGGTGTTGCCTTGGATGTCGCTTGAGAAGGCGTTACGGACGCCACTCCAGAGGAAATAGTTGGTGCCATTGATGGTGGCGCCGTGAGTGGCTTTGCCGCTGTAGATGTGACCGTCGATGGCGTAGTAGCCGGTGCGGCCGATGTCGTCACCGGTACCGTTGTGGGAGCTGCCGTAGAAGGATGAGATTGCGGTTGGGGAGTTGAGGGAGATGTAATCGACTGCGCAGTGGCGTTGGGAGACGGTGTGGAGTGCGCCGGTGCAGGAGATTGCTGGCCGGCGGGCTTTGTTGCTTGCACCGGCCGAGAAGCCTGTGCAACCGCCGGAGACTGAGGCGTCAGATTGCGAATCGGCGAGGGTGAGGACTGCATGGGCCGATGCTGTTGCGCGTGCTGGGGGCCAGGAGAACGGCTAGGACTAGTCGATACCTGTCGACCGGCGGCCAGGCGCTGTGCAGAAGTTAACATTGTCGAGGTCGGCCGCGCTGCTATCGCCGCGTTGTTGATGGCATTGTTGATTGCCGCCGTCATGCCCGCCGTGAGATCTGCGGTAACAGATTTAATCGAGGAGGATGTGGTCGACAAAGAAGAAAGATGCTTGTTGCCGGGTTTCAATGGTGGCCGGTCAGCAACGGAACCGTTGGTCTGTTGCGCGGCGAGAGCCTGTGCCGTGGCCGGGAAGCCACCACGGGCAGCAGCATTGACAACATCGGCAGCTGTCACCGGAGCGCGTTGTGGCACGGCACTACCAGCACCGGCACCCCCAGCCGTAACAGTGGCTGTTCCAGCAGTCTGCCGTGGGGTCAGCTGTGCCTGCTGGGACTGTCTCTGCTGGAGTTGTTGCAGCTGCTGTTGGACGGCCGGCGAAAGCTGCGTTGCACTGGCGAGCCGCGGAGGCAGGTTGCTCGTCTGCGGGTTGGGGGCAATGCTCTGCATAGCCGGCGGAGCTCCAGCACGAGCCGGACTGTTTGTGGCGCCGTTCGGTGCAACAGTGGCTGATCGGGCGCTACTGTTGGCCGCCGGATTGCCATTGGTTGTGCTATTGTGGGCGACACTGCCAGCTCTCACAGGGGTTGCAGCGTGGGAAGCGGCAGGAACAGGTGCGGTGGCAGGCGCCGTTGCAGGCGTCTGCGACGGGACAGACGCGACAGGAGCCTGGTTCTTGTTGTCCTGTAGGCCGCCCGCAAGAGTCATAATGCCCTGCACGCGTGCCTGCTCCTCCTTGTTCGTAGCCCGCGCCCGCTCTTCGGCCTCCTTACGGGCGGCCTGGCTGGGAGCACGCGTTTTCAGCTCGCCGGTCACACACTTCAGGTAGTACGGCATTTCCGTATTGGCCTTGAGGAAGAACAACTTGAGGTTGCGCGCCTTGTCCTTGAGCTGCACTTGGCTGCGATCTTTCAGAATATCTGATATCGTACCGTTGGCGCCAAATAGTTGGAGGATTTGAGACCAATGGGGGCCCTTGACCATATCAAGACCCGCCATGAGCGCCTGTTCCTCGTCGGGAGACCATGGCCGCCGCGTGCTATGCAAGCCTTCACGCCGTGTGTGGCCTTGCGTCTTGGATGCAGCAGCCTGGCGGGCCTGCTGGTAGAGGATGGAGCTCGGAGACGACTGGTTTGGCGGCAGAGACCCGCTGCTGCCGTTGCCGTTGTGGTTGCTCACCGGCGGTTGCGGTGGTGGCAATGGCGGCGCCGGGACCTGCTGGAACGGGAAGGACGGACTGCGGTTGTACATAGCCAGGTTGTTGGCAAACGTGTTTTGCATACTCGATAGGGCGGCTAGAGAAAGAGAAGAGTCAGATATAATGTCCTGAATCTGAATGTAGTTGTGGATGCCGCACGAAGAGATCTGACAAGAAGTTGGCTTACCATTGGCTTGGGCAACAGGAGACTGGGTCTGCTGCGCGTTGTAGGCCGGTGTCGGAACAAGTGCCGGCGCGGGAGCAGGCTGTGGCTGCGCGTTCTGCGCGTCTTGGCCCAGCTTCTCCTTGATGAGCTTCGTCAGACCCGTTAGATCCATTGCGCCGTCGGCCGAGGCGGGCGCAGGAGCCGTCGGTCCGTTTGTCGGCGGTGCGACGGTGTGCGCGCGTACCGATGGGATCGTAGACAGGGCCGCCGGCGTCGAAGCCAGAGGGGGCGCGGCTGGTGTTTGGGATGTCGAACGGGCAGCCGACCGTCGCACGGCTTCTTGGATGAGCCGGCTGACACCCTCCGCCATCGGTGATGCCTCAAGTGCAGGCTGGGCGTTCATGCCGTTGGAGGAGTCGATCACCATCGGCCCGGCACCACTGGCGGCTGCAGGGGCTGTCGATTGTTGCGTGGTTGCCGACGGTGATGCCGTGAGCCCATCTGATGACGCCATAGCAGCCGACAGCATCGAGGCAATGCTGTCGCCCATGGCGGTGAAGTCTTTCCCATTGAGAAGAGATGAATCCACATCGTCGCCCGCAATGTCGGACCCGTCACCGTTGCCATCGTCGTCGGATGGGAACTCGATGCCGTGGGAATCAGCGTAGCGAAGAACGACATCTTCGTTTGCACGTAGGTAGGCGCTCAGCTCGTCACGGAAACCGTCGAGGGTGTACTGTTCCTGGAGTTGTTCTGCGGTGTGTTAGTAGTGTACCAGAAGGCCAGCGAAACTGGGGATGAATGACAATTCAAAAAAAAAAAAAGGAAAAAAAAAGACACGCACGCCTTGATTCATCCGTCTTTGCCGATTCGAGCAGTCGTTCCTTGGCCACCATCATGTCCTTCATAAACTCTCTCTCGTACTCAGTCAACGGCGAGTCGACGTGCATGTTCTGCAACTGTTCTTCGAGGTTAACGGGGAACAGGCGCTCGAGAAACTCGCCCCGCTGCTCCTCGTTAGGCAGCCGAACCAGCTCGGCAGCCAGCGTGCGATATTTGAGGCTGAGAAAGAGCGTGGCCAGGTCCTTGTTAAGGGCGTCGGCTTCGGGCAAGAACGTCGAGAGGAAGTAGTCGTGCGCTTCGATGAGGGGGATGTCGTCAGCTTCAAAGATGCTCGCGGAGATCGTGGCCATGTTGGCCATCAGAATCGTCTCCTGGTCGCCGGCCTCTTTGATGTCCAAGTCCTCGGTGCTCAGAATCGCGGCTGTCTCTGAAAACAGCTTTCTGGTGTTGCGGAAAGCAGACCGCAGCAACTTATACACACGCCGTGTTTCTGTCGCTTCACCATCGTGCGTTGGGTCCAGGCCGGGGTTCTCGCTCAATGCGTACAACAGTTGCACCGCCTAAGGTTGTGTTAGTAAGCCCATGGGGCAAGAGGCATAGGGTGCGGAGATAAAACGAAGTGGAGGTAAACGTACATAACTACCAAGCAATGGCAGGCCCATGGATCGACTGATGTACGTGGGGTTTTGAGCAAAGCGCATCTTCGCCGACTCTCGTGACGGTGCGCCCATATTATTTGCGCTAAACCTGGACTCCCCACCAGGAGACGCGATATCCCTCCTTGAGCTTGCCACATCTTTTGTCGGGGCACTGAGTCCCGGCGTCTTCGAAGCGGCTGCTGTTGACACGATCGGCGCCGCCGCCGGTGGTCGTGGAGGTGACTTGATGGCTGTAGAGGAAGCAGGAAGCGATGGTGTTGAAGTAGCCGGCGTGGTCGTTAAAGAGATTGGAGCGGAAGGTACAGGAAGGGCGGGATTTGGAGCTGCTGGAATGGGCACTGTCGCGGGCACCGCAGGATTCGGGGGAGGTGGGGGTGTAGGAGCTACTGGAGTGAAGGAGACGGAAGCTGCTGGTGCAGAAGGAGCTGGGGTGGGTGACAGTGTGGTGTTCATGGAGCCAAGAGCAGACTTGAGCATCGCTTCGAGGTCCATCGCCGGCGGTGCAGCGGATGGTGCAGCAACAGCAACAGGTGCTGCTTCTGCTTCGGGAGGCACCTCCACCTTGGCCCTCTTGGCCTCGCTGCCTTGGTTGCCATCGTCGCCTTCGTCGGCTCGTGGCCGCTTAATTGCATTCTGAAGAGACTCCAGCAAGCCCGCGCCTAGTACGGTGGACGCCGCAGCGAGGCTGTCATTGGTGGGCTCGGTCTTGACATTGAACGACGGAGCTGGAGCTGGCTCAGGTACAGAAGTAGTAGCAAGTGCAGAGGCAGGAACAGGCGCACCAGGCGGTGCCGGTGGAGCGGGTACTGTCGATGCGACCGGTGGTGTCGAAGAGGACGGTTCGAATGGCGCAATGGATGCGGCCCGGGTATTGGCGGTGACGTCCGATGGTGCTGGTGCTGCCGGTGCTACTGATGCTTCTGTTTTTCCTGTGTCTACCGTGTTTGAAGGAGCATCTGTTGTGGGGAGAACCGGAGTGTTGGAGGCTGGTGCGAAAGCTGGGTCGGGGGTCGGAGCTGACTCGAGAGGTTGCGGCGTCGTCTCGACCGTCGCCACAGGCGGTGAAGCCTCGGGGACGGCAGCGGTGCTGCCGCCACTAAGTTCCGTCATGCGAACAGATATCCAAAGCGCCGCCGAAGACAGCAACCAAGGATGGATACAATAAGATAAACAAAGATGTACGAAGGTGTGCAGTTGGAGTAGGCGAGGAGGACGGGATTGCGACGGAAGCAGTCCCTCTTGCGCCGGCCGCGGAAACTGATGAGATAACGGATTGGGATGCCGGGGACGTGCAGCGCCAGGAAGAACAGATATCGGTGGTTCGGATCCGATAAACGAAGAGAAGGTGGATTGTGCCGAGCCAATGCTGTGGACGGTCAATGTTGTCGTCGGCGACGCGATAACGGGGTGCCGGCAGGAGCGAAGTTGGATGCGCGGCAGAAAAGCAGAAGGCGCCGGAAAATTAAAATTTTAAGGTTTTTCCGTGGTTAATCCGGGATTGCTGCCCTTATTTCTTGCCCCAGCGCTCTCCCCGCCTTCTGATACACATCATGACTTGAGATGAGCGAAAACGACGTAATGACAACTGGTCCCGGCGAAAATTACCCCATACCCCAGATCATTGGTTTCTTTTGGGCGACGGTAAATGGAGACACGAATAAAGCGTCGCTGGCGATGAAAAACTCTGTACATCTAACGAATTGCACCGGTCAAGGAACCAAAAAAGTACAAAGCACTACGAGCAACATACACTCGATGGTATTACGGGACGTAGTTACAACAGTCTAGTACATGTCATTGGCTTTGACAGTGCTGATATTCCAGAGACGTATATAAATGATATGTCAACTCATAGCAATCAGTTAAGCTGAGTTCTGGTCGTCGTTGGTGGTATCGTGTGCTTCATGAACTGTGGCGGTGCATTACAGCCACATCTCAAGTCACTACTAAATACAGTGGCAAATACTATGTACTGTAATATGCACTGTGCTTCACAACACTTACACCAGACTTCCCAAAACAGCAAGGTTGCTCGATGGGGAACTCAGGCGGAACCTGTGGAAGAAGTCGTACATGCGAGGACGCTTAGGCACAGTTGCACACCATCGTCTCGATACGAGCCAGAATTTTGCCGGTTGTGCGGGTTCGTACTTTGTATCGTGCACGACGTCAATACCACGTCTTGCCACAGTGCCCCAGCTTCTCCGGATTTGGAGGTGCTCAGATCGATCCCAGGTGCCTGGAGACTGGAGACACGGAGACTGAAGGGCTGAGATGGGTCCGCCGGTGGAGGCAAGAGGACGAAAGGCATGGGCGGAGAGATGCTTCCTCCTTACGAGACCAAGGTGGATTATGAATGGCCTGCTCGAAATGGAAAAAGGAGCGTGCTGGGACCGGCCAACCCATACGCATGCATGCTGGAAGCTGCCAAAGCTGAAATGGCGTCTGATGATGGACATAAAGTACGGGCAACCTGTCAACAACAACGCAAGCACAGCGGCACGTTCACCTTGTCGACTGAATCCCCGCATCGACGAGCTTCTTGAAATCCGGGGAGCATTCTTAGACAAATGGCTGGGTAACTGGAAAGGAAATGAGATCAGCGACAAGAGCCAGGAGAGAAGACTCAGAATACTTTTTGAGAAACAGGGGAACGTAGACAAATTGGAAAGATAAAACAAGCAAGGTGCCCAGTTAGGCCTGCAGGTAGTAGACGGTATGTGGTTTGAATTTGCAATGCTCAAACAGGTTACACTAAATGGCAAAGCAGGACAAAAAAAAATAAGGAAGACAGCCAGTACCATGATTGACGGCGCCAGCTTTTCCGTTGACCGCAGAACAGTTTCAGTGTTTCGGTGACAAGGAACGTAGCAAGTCCGGTGAGATTCGGGCTTCCGGAGGGGGTGGGTTGGGGAAACTGGGGGACAGAGGAGTGGCCTCATGTATGGCGCGTCGGCAGCGGCCTGTGGACAAATATAAGCGCCAGGGAACAATTACTGTCTGGCAACGATCATGCAGGTTGTGCCATTGCCTAGCCATGGCGTGGTGCCGGTGGGATGATCCGCACTTGGTCGCCGTGGTTTCTTCAAATGGAAAAGATGGAGCCGGTGAAACGGGCATGCAAGAAAATGGGTGCGACTTCTGCGACATACGTCGAGGAGCATACCTTGCAGCACAGCAATCTATGGCCGCCTCGCGTATTTCACCAAACTTCCAGATGGCGTCCCTCGACCGTGCCTTCCATGGCCGTATGCTTACGGTGTCCAGATTATGCGGGTAAGGAATGGGGGAGCAACAGAGCGTTCGTATCGTGAGGTTTGGTACCATGTTAGCCATCACTCCTGCCTTTCCATTGCAAAAGAGCGTCTCCGTGTCTGTGCAGAGATGTTCTGGCGGGCCATGGCGCTAGGCCATGTGCAGGCTGTGCTCATGGCAAAATGGCTGAAGGTAAAACCCTCCCTGTTTTTGCATTTATTTTTGACTTATTTTTAATTCAGACGGAGCACGACATAAAGGACGGGGGATACAAAGCATGCCTCCTCGGCTGTGGGGTAACTTCGCGCTAGGTCTTCTGTGAGTACCTCTTTTGGGCCTAGGAAGCGGCCCAGGGGGTGTGGGCATCCTTCGCGCCCTCGTAGTCGTCAATGTCGGAGCCGCTCTGTACTATGTCGTCGCTGTCTATTGCCCCGAAAGCGTCCCATGACTGCACCGACACCCAAACGGTAGCAAACCAGAACTCGTCCAGCAGCTCACAGTGGCACAGGATGTGCGCCGGGCACACTTCAGGGCACGCGAACATGCGAACAAGAGAACACGAGAACGAAGAACAGGAAGCCGCAATCAAGAGCAAGCAATACTATACGTATTCTCTTCCATTAGTGGGCTTCCAGGCGTGTTCGAGCTGGAATCGAGTAAACAGACACGACGTCGAGGCCGATCAAGGAATATCTCACGATGCTTACCGCCTGCAAGAAGACCAGAGCGGCCAGGTGCACTAGAGATGTAACGATGTGCTTGCTGCAAAATCCCAACATTGTCAGTGTTGACGGATGGAAGGTCATCTCCATCCTTCGCGGAACTAACCAGTGTGCTGCGGAGCCGTTGTAGCTGGTTACCCCCGTTGACCGGACGGGTACCCTTCTAGGGGTTAAGCAGGTCAGCGGTAACGCCGCGGACGTGCTGTGACTGGATTAGAGAGGCTGGGGGGGATGTGATTGCAGGTGCTAGCGGCAGACCAAACGATCGATGACGAGCGAGGGGGGTGTCAGCAAATGGCCCGCACCTTACCAGCAGAGGAGCCAACAGCCAAACTCCCAGACCAGGAAACAAGGGATCTACAGGTGCGGGGAGCAATGGAGCCACGCATCGAAATGGAAAAAGCGCACCACTTGTTTTCCGTGGAGGGCGGAAGGAACCAGTTCATTTCTGTACCAGTCAAATGAGCAGATCTTCGATGGTATCTCGGCCAGCCAAACGGCTTGGACAAGACGGATATTTCACGGAGACGGTGTAGGCCAAGAAACCACCATTACGTTGTTGAGCGGCCCATGCGTCATTGTCGCCAGTGTCGCCCCAGAGCGCTCCAGTGGTTATAGCGAGGAAGATGCTGCCTGCGACAGGAGATGCCAGCGTAGTAGGCGCTATAGGGGCAGTTGGAGGCGACACCCCCCATAGTGCATGCCACAATGTGTGCACTAATCTTACCTGTGGTTGGCGACTGTGGGCAGCTCTCTCGCCCCATTACCCCGAGATGGCCGGAGGGGCGAAACGGTCCCCGGCATTTTGCGGCTTAGAAGCGTGTGTAGCTTGGAGCTGCCCCGCTTCACGCCCAGGCAAGCTTCTGCGACTGCCGCATCTGCATGCTTGCGCTGTCGCACTCTTTGATCCGTGTGGCCTTCATCTGCTTGCTTGGCGTCACCCGCTCGTGCCTGCACCTCCACCTTCCGTTTTTCCTTTTTACCTTTTCTGTCCCTTTTCGTCCTTTTGCCTTCCTGCTTCACATCCAACTCCATCTCCGCTTGCCCCTGGTTCCATCGTGCCCCCAAGTCCGTCTTGCATCGAGCGTATATAAACGACTCGTCTCCTCTCTCGGCTTATTTCCAGATTGTTCCCTCGGTTCTGCTTTCACTCTCCATACTCTCGCTCGCCACTTCCATCTCCACTGTGTTTTCTCCTCATCTCATTTAGCCTTCCTTCTTCATACCCGTCCATAAAGCATCCCAACTCTTTGATACCCCCTTCCCATTCCCTCCTCCTCACTCGCACGCACTTACATACACACATTCACAATGTCGGCTCTTACCGCTCAGCTGAAGACGCCCATCACGGGCGAGCTGACCTTGAACACGGGCTTGTGAGTTCTCGACTTTTACGGTTTGCACCACCATTGCAAACTGCCTGGCAGTGGTTTCTAACCGCAACCCCTAGGTTCATCAACAACGAGTTCGTCCGTGGTGTTGAGGGCAAGACATTCGAGGTCATCAACCCCTCCACCGAGGAGGTCATCACCTCCGTCCATGAGGCCACCGAGAAGGACATTGATATCGCAGTCAGCGCTGCCCGCAAGGCGTTCGACAACACCTGGAAGAAGGTCACCCCCCAGGAACGCGGCAAATTGCTGCTGAAGCTCGCCGACCTTGTCGACAAGAACCTGGATCTTCTTGCTGCCGTTGAGTCGCTTGACAACGGCAAGTCCATCACATATGCCCGCGGCGATGTTGGCTCCGTTGCTGCGTGCCTGCGCTACTACGGCGGCTGGGCCGACAAGATCGAGGGCAAGACCATCGACATCTCCCCCGACATGTTCCACTACACCCGCGCTGAGGCCCTCGGCGTCTGCGGCCAGATCATCCCTTGGAACTTCCCCCTGCTGATGCTGGCCTGGAAGATTGGCCCCGCCCTGGCCACGGGCAACACCGTTGTCCTGAAGACGGCCGAGCAGACGCCTCTGTCCGCCCTCGCTTTCGCTCCCTTGGTCAAGGAGGCCGGCTTCCCCCCTGGTGTCCTGAACATTGTCTCTGGCTTCGGCAAGGTCGCGGGTGCCGCCATCTCCTCGCACATGGACATTGACAAGGTCGCCTTCACTGGCTCCACGGCTGTCGGTCGCACCATCATGAAGGCCGCCGCCGCCTCCAACCTCAAGAAGGTCACCCTTGAGCTGGGCGGCAAGTCCCCCAACATCGTTTTCAACGACGCGGACATTGAGGATACCATCAACTGGGTCAACTTTGGCATCTACTACAACCACGGCCAGTGCTGCTGCGCCGGTTCGCGCGTGTACGTCCAGGAGGGCATCTACGACAAGTTCATCGCTGCGCTCAAGGCCCGCGCCGAGCAGAACAAGGTCGGTGACCCGTTCCTAGAGGAGACCTTCCAGGGCCCGCAGGTGTCCCAGCTTCAGTTCGACCGCATCATGAGCTACGTCAAGTCCGGCAAGGACGAGGGCGCTACCGTTCTTACCGGTGGCGACCGCCACGGCGACAAAGGCTACTTCATCCAGCCCACCATCTTTGCTGATGTCCGCCAGGATATGAAGATTATGCAGGAGGAGATCTTCGGCCCCGTCGTCGCCGTGGCCAAGTTCAAGGATGCTGAAGACGCTATCGCACTGGGCAACGACAGCAACTACGGCCTGGCCGCCGCCGTCCACACCAAGGACCTGAACACGGCCATTCGCGTCTCCAACGCCCTGCGCGCCGGTACTGTCTGGGTCAATGTAAGTTTTATTTTTTTTTCATTCCGTATGGAACTAGACGCCTCCAAGAAAACGAATTACGCTAACATCATCTCTTCCCTAGTGCTACAACGCCCTGCACCACCAGCTGCCATTTGGAGGCTACAAGGAGAGCGGTATCGGCCGCGAGCTGGGCGAGGCCGCGCTGGCAAACTACACCCAGAGCAAGTCGGTTGCCATCAAGCTCGTATAAATGGACGATTTTGGCAAAGAATGGCTTTTTTGTGAAGTGATATGGCATGAATCACGATTACTTCCAAGGTAGTTCATTTTTTACCAATAGTAAGCAAAAAAGAAATTGGCACATGAAACCAAAAGGACAAAAAAAATTACCAGCGCTCATTTCATTTCTGTAATCTTGAACGAAGTCATACCTCGATGCAATATGTAAGTTGGACGTTTTGACACAAAATTGAAAGAACCCAATTTGTTTTCCACGACGAATCGACGTACATGCTCTTGTAACCATGCCTGTCAGATTTTGGCGCATGTTCTAAATGCACCAGTAGCTCCCGCGACAAATTACTACAAACGGAATGGCATGAATTAACTGGAGGAACTGTGCCTTGAAATATCTTTTCGTAGGTATTGGAATATGCAGTGTCCCCAAATGATAACACGGTTCTTGTATGAATGCCATAACGCCGTGATTTTAGGATTTAAGAAAAGTAAACTATTTTCATATCATATTCGCTTTCATTTCGGTTTGTATCCAGCTTATTTTATTGTTTTTCATTTCTTTTCATATGTGTAAAATATTATATTATACGTTTCACATCTTAAAAAAGAGTTTTATTTTTTAAAAGAACCATTTCACTTTTCATGTCACAATGAGAGATATCCCATCCTCGTTTTCTCTTCCTTAAAATGCCAACATTTTGTTCTTGTCTTGCCGCTGCAAGAAAAGGCGATCCGCTTTCGTCTATTTCGTCGCTTTCGTGACAGGTCGAACCGAGGAAGTGGGACCAGTACTCGTCTCGCCCCACCCAAGGGGCCACTGTAAAGTCCCAACCTATGGTTCAAGCCTGAGCGTACTTCACAAGGCGCCCCGCACTTTAACTTCTATGGCGCGTGTCGCGTCATTTGCCAATGGAGGAAACCGCACCACACAGTTGACAGCACGCGATCTATATCTAGCAGACCACCGAGAAACAAGGCAAGGACGACGAGATTGCATTACACAGCTGCCACACGGAGTGCTCGACACAATTCTTGCGTAAATCATTGTCCAACTCTGGATTCCAATCATGTCAAACTCCCGCGCTGCATCCTCAATGGGCGCGTCGCGTTCTGTCGGCGCCGGCGCGTCAACATCGGCCGCTGCCCGCAAGTCCTATTTTGAGCAGCAGCGCGAGCTTCTCATGGGCGAGATTGCCATGGTACGGATGGCCCCCGCTCTCCCGTCTGTTTCGAGTGTGATCCGCTCGTCTAACATTGGCAGTCGTTTGAGCAGGTCCTCGCAAACATCAACAAACTCAACCGGTCGCTCGAGGCCGTGGTGACGGTGTGTTCGAAACACGGTGTCCCTGCATATCGCTCCTCGGCTAACAAAAACGAATAGGTCGGAAACGAGTTCTCGGCAGTCGAGGCATTGTGGTCGCAGTTTGAGAGCGTCATGGCCAAGGACCCAGAACCAGCGGCTGGCGGCGAGGCCGACGAACAGGGCCACGGAGACGGACACGAGCACGAGCACGACCAGCAAGATGCGGAGGCCGAAGAGAATCACAACAACCAAAGCGGTGACGACGAAGGGGAGGCTGCGACACAATTGCACGACGAGGAGGCGTCAGGCGGCCGAGGACGCACACGAGAAGACGATGTGAACTTTGACTATTAGGTCAAAGGCGAAAGGTTGACAATTGTCAGACTACGTTATTTTACTTTGGTCCTTTTTTCTTTTCCTTGGGCAATATCCCTGGTTATAAATGGCGTTTACGGACTTACAGAACGGCAAAGCCACGGCGTAGCCATCCGATATGGGCATGCGATTTGTTATGGTGATCACTTTAGACACGGGGATTTGAAAATCAAAATCAAAATTGTTATATTTCATGCTACAAAGGAAAATAAAGCTGACTCAGGGCAGACCTTCCGTCCACTTAACAGTAAATCTCCCTTCCTCAATTGTACATCACAAGCAATACGGCCATCCAAAATTGTTCCCAACCCCAGAAAACAAAACGAGACGCAGTCGCCGGCAGATGATGCATGAGGAAAGAAGCCAAAAAAAAGTGCTCTTCCATGCGAGCTTGGCATCAAGCAAGCAAAGTGAACGAATAAAAGCCGCGGAGCTCTTCCGTCCCCGTAAAGAAAAGTGACGATGCAAGAGATGAGGAAGAGGTCCGTGTAAAAACAAGAAATGGCTGACTGCAAAATACAGCTAGGAGGTTGGAATGAAAAGAAATATATGGAGTGCTGTTTCGTAGTCATATCATGCTGAAATGTGGATCATTACTTTGGTGCTGGTGCGCGTAGTGGGGATAGTGCCAGTGGTGATTTGTGTGTGTGTGTGTGTGCGTGTGTCTGTTGTTTGATGTGTGTTGGTAGAGTGTTTTTTTGTCAGCAAAACCTCTAACCGCGAACTGTGCCTCGCCGTCTCTCCGTACACGGCAACATGCCTTCGTCTCCGTGTTCGTCGTCGTCGTCATTGACATTGTCGTCCGTGCAGCAACTGCTTCCAACTGTTTTGCCGGTCCGCCATATCTGGGCATGCTGCCAAGCTCGCATATATCCGGTACCCTACAGTGGAATGCAGCGTCTCTTCTTCCGCTTCATCGGCCCACCAATGGGAATGTTGCCGCTGCCACTGCCAAAGGTGACACCACTGCCGCCGGTGTTGGAAGCACCAGTACCACTGGCACCATTTTTGCCGCCCCCGGCCGTCTGCGCCTCGATGTTTCTGCGGTCGTTGGCGACAACAGTCAGAAGTGCCTGCTCAAAGATCTCGTCGACGCCCTTCATCTCTTTGCTGCTGCACTCCATGTACTGGGCACCCATCTTCTTGGCGACGGCGAGACCTTGCTCGGTAGTCACAGGCGTCAGGCCTTGCGTCTTGAGCATGTCGATGCACGTCTTCTTGAACCTCAAGTCAGACTTGAGGCCGACGAGGATCAGGGGCGTGTACGGGCAGAAATGCAACACTTCGGGGTACCACTGGTTTGGTTAGTAGGAGAAACACCAGCAAATAGATTTGTAAATGTAGTAAGCGTTAACTCACTTTGTCCATGACGTTCTCGAGTGAGTTCGGGCAGTCGATAGCAAAGCACACAAAAATGAGGTCGGTTTCCGGGTAAGAGAGTGGCCGGAGCCGGTCATACTCTTCTTGACCGGCTGTATCCCACAGTGCCAGCTCAACCGTCTTGCCGGACGGCGGGTGTGTTGGGTAGGTGATGTAGTTCTCAAAGACGGTGGGGACGTATTTCTGCGCGAGGTTAATGGGTGCCTACGTTCATGCACTCGGATACCGGAGACGTTCGCGACCTACCTCGGGGAAGTAGCCCTGGCTGTAACTGATGAGCAGACATGTCTTGCCACAGCCGCCGTCGCCCACGACGACAATCTTCTTCGAGTACGTCGGCGGCTCGGTCATGTTGGTCATAGCTGTAGCAGACGACTCGCGACCGGAAGACGACGAAGTTGTGCTAATGGTGTTGCTGTCGCTCGTCCGCGCCGTCCGAGACTCAAGGCGGTCCGTAGTCGGCCGCCGCTGGATGCCGTATTCGTATGTGTCGCGCGAAGATTGTTGATAGTAAGAGTTGCGATATTGCGAAGCCATGGTGAGGCGGATGATGGGTTAAGGTGGGTGGATGGAATAGAAAGGAAAATGCGAAACAAAAAGGCGAAAGCGCCACCTCTGCGCAAGACAGGTTAACTGTCCCGGGTCTCTTTCTTGCCCTTTGTCACGCCAGTGTGCGATGAGTGACTGGACTCACAATCGCGTACTCGAACAATCGATAATATAAGTTTCTGTTTGGTGACCTCGGGGTTATTGGCGAGATAAGGAAAAGGGAACGGGGCGAGTCTCGATCATCAGAAAACGGCGACCGAAAAGTCCACAATGCTGAGCTGTAAAGAGATTTTCTCGTCAGGAATGAAGTGGTCTTGGAATTCAGAGAGAAAAGGGAAGGAGTGAAGGAGAAGAGCAACGAAAGGAAAGAGCGAGGTCCACGGCAAGAGCAGCTTAACGTCGCAAAGTTGACTTTTTGCCTGTTTCGTGTGTTGAAACGCACTGTAGCACGCGTTAGCCGGGCAACGGGCTGCCGTTGTTAGGGGGTGATCATTGTCGATTGCCGCCATCCTCCCTTCTGGCCCGTGCACCGCTGCTGACTACATCAATAAATGGACCCGCAAAAATTTAAGTGGTTTTCTCGCGGCACGTGCAAACTTCACCTCGCGTACGACATACATAAATAGAACGCGTCCCGCCGTGAATTTCGCTTTTTCTTCCACCTCCACCACTTCAACCAACGTTAGCTCTCCCGCAAACTCAGCCTTCACAACGTCCGAATTCCAAAACCTGACCATGGCGAGCGAATACGTAACCCTCGTCTCTGCCGAGGGCTTCGAGTTCGTCGTTCTGCGTGCTGCTACCGATGTGAGCCCCATGATCAAGCGGATGCTGGACCCAAAGAGTCCGTTTGCTGAGGCCAGGTCGGGTCGGTGCACGTTTCCTGAGATCAGGTTAGTCCTTTTCCCATTCTACGTTTGTTCTCTCACCTTCATGTCCATTTGCCTCTCTTATGCAGTTCCGTCGCCTTTCGTGATGACACAAGTGGAAACTGTTTGAAAGAGCCATTGACGACATTGTCTGCAAAGCCAGCATTGTCTTTAGGTTCTGTATGACATATTTAACCTACACTTGATCTGAGGCGTTGCCGGACCCGACCCGTTGACAAGCGTAATCCACAACTAAGCAAGACGAACCAACTGCTGACAGCGCCGCACAGTACTCCCATTCTCGAAAAAGTCACCGAGTATTTCCAGTACTGGTACAAGAACCGCGACAAGGAGGACGTGCCCGACCTTGATATTCCAACAGAAATGTGTCTGGAGCTGTTGATGGCAGCTGACTACCTCGGCATGGACAGTGGGTGTTTCCTGGTATATATTGTCCTTTTTATTTCCATTACGAGAAGCTGACATTTTCTCAGAGCTCGGCTGAACGCACAGAAAAGCAATCTCTTACCAACGCCGTAATACGCCACGATACATCGTCACCATACGCTTCTCTTATACTCATGCATGGCGTGTGATACTGGTTAACCCTAACTGAGCCGGCTGTTAAGGACAGGCGACCTCGCTACCTGTTTGCCATCCTCAATCTGCAGTCAAGCCATATGATGCATTGGTTTCCATGGGGTTTCACGCGCCGGGCACAGTACTCCCCGCGATCGTGATTTATGTTCCAGCACAGCTCATCCTGAAACGCTACTTTGTAGACGACGAGCGCGCTTGCCTGTTAGCCGATCGTTCATCGTCACCATCAATCACGCTTTCAACTGTGCAGGCACTTCGGCCGGCGGCTGGCTTTGGCTGGATGTCTGCTTTGGTGTGTCTGCCGCGTGGTTGGTGGGAGAGGAAACATCAGTCCCCCACACTCTGCTTGTCTCCTTTTCCGTGGGGATCTCGCTTTTACGAAAGGGACACATCCGTGTAAGATGTGTAAATTTGAATTCGATGTGAATGACACGTGCTTAGGCGACCCGCTTAGATTTTCTGTTTAGACATTGAATCGATTTCTTCCAAGTTCACGGTCCATCTTGATGCTCTATGTGAAGTTGACCAACACGCTTTTTAAGCAGTAAACCCGTCTTGACCCTTTTATTGTTCATTAACATCCACACACCTAATAATACCCGCCTCTTCCACGACCCCGGCCGCCGCCTCGGGAAAATCCACCACCGCGGCCTCCTCTGCCTCTTCCTCTGTAACCACCACCGCCGTAGCCACCACCGCCGTAGCCACCGCCTCCATAGCCACGGTTGTCATCACCGCCGTACGGGCGCCGGGGCTCCGAGGCCCCTGGCCCCCGCTGCTTCCTCTCGCCCCGTTCCTGCTTGGTTGCGTGCCAAATGTTGGGCACTTGGATCAACTCGCAAAAGGCTGCCGTATGCGGGTTCGTGTACTCGTTTGGCTGACCCTTAGCATACGTCTCCGGCTGACCGGGCTCGGGCGCGTGTACAGGCGCCGTGATAGCAAAGTTGTGGGGTACTGCCAAGAGGCCTTTGGCAACAATGTTCTCGTCTACCCATGCACGTTCCGTGTCGATAAGCGTGCGGTAGTGCGCCTCGCCCTGGTCGAGCGGCACTGGTACGTCCCTCTCACCAACGGTCAGGTCCTTGGCAAAAGCACGTGTAATGGCGAGCCACTCTGGGTCATATTCCAGGCGGAAGCGAGGCCTTGTGCTGGCAGCTGTCTCAGCAGCGTCGATTGCGTCGGCTGCCTCGCCACCCTCGGCTGTGTCGTCTTTCTTTTCAATTGGCAACTCGACGGCCCCGACCGTGACACTAGGGTCCGCAGGACCAATTTCGCACAGCTGCAGGAAATGACGCCCTGGCAAGCACTTGTCCAGGGCCAAGAAGTTGACCTGGGTGTTTGTGATTGTGGGCGGCACTGGCTGGCCTGGCTTCACGTGAGGGCGATTCTGGTATTGCTGCTGTGATGGGAGCGGGCGCTGAAACGAGGCCGGAAGCTGTGCTAAGAGCTCGCTCGAAACGCCATCAATGTTGGGAAGAGCGGCTGACACCTCTTTTTTCTCGTTTTCGTTCAGTTCAGTCGATACTGTAGCGTCCGGCTTCTTCTCGGCTGGTGCCGGGGCACTGTCAGCGCCTTTGTCGTCATCACCATCATTGTCGCCAAGGTCCAGATCGATCTCATCTGGGTTGCCTGCATCGGCAGTTTGTGTCGGTGGTGGGAGTGAGCTTGTTTTGCGTGGCGTAGTCGCTTCATTAGCAGCACTCGCTCTTTCTTCCTTGAGGGCCTGCTGAGTCTGTGCGGCCCGTACGGGGTCTTCCATCTCTGGTGGGTCGAACTGTTTGATAGCTGCAAATTTGCAGTGCATATGCGCCGAGAACCAGAACCGAGGCCGCAGCCGGTCTAGGACGTACTCGGCCGCCGTATTGCCCAGCGTACCCTCCATGGACTCACGGCGGAAGTGAGGCTTCATGCGGTACAGCTGCTCATTGTCGCCGTGCCACTCAATCGCGCGCGGCCAGTCGTGGCTCATGCCAATGTCGACGGGCTCACGGATCTGCAGCAGTTTGCGCACGTCACACTCGCGCACATGGTAAAAGCTCTTGATGTCGTCTTGCCGGAACGGCAGGCGCTCGTGATGTGGCCGGCGGTAGTCTGACCCTTTCCAGATGCCGCTCATGCCTGCCAGCCGCAAAGGACCAAAACGCAGCACGTTGGCCGCGCCCCAGTAGTAGATGTTGGGCGCCACCCAGCCGCCGTAGAACAGTTCCCAGAGGTAGCCGGCAGCCTCGTGGTTGCCACCGATGAAAACGGTCAGGTACGGCGCCTTGCGGGCGCCCGAATAGTAGAGATGGAAGTCGCCCATCGCGCGGTACTTGGGCGGCACAGACATGAGGTTGAGATCTGACGCATTGCGCGTGGCCTGGAAGTCGCCGCCAATGATGACAAGGTCAACACCATCCCAGCCCCGCTCTGCGCACGACGCGTCAATAGCACCGTAAATCGCGTCAAGTGCACCATGACCCTGTGGTGGAAGAGTTAGCGAAGATTCTGCCAAAGATGTGGTGAACCCTGGAAAACATCACGAAAGGACTCACGCAACCCTCAATGGCCACTCGCACCCCACCGACCTCGCGGAGGCCAGGAAATTCAGCCATTTTCAATATTCGAAAGCAATTACTGACGTCAACCTCATATCGTTGTACGTCGTTGAGATGCAGAGGTTGTTCTTAAAAGTGTTTGCGTTGTTGAGCTCTACAATATAGGCACGTGATCTTAAAGTACATGTCCACGTGATGTCCATTTTGGTAACACACGTTCCAAGCATCTGAGTCAACAGTGACTCACGATGCAGCCTAGAATCCAATAAAAGCGAATCACAGAGCGGTATTTTGATTTCATTGATCATATCTTGCGCAAAAAGTCATGGTTTATGTGACCACTTGGTGTGTGGTGATCCTATATGTGTGGCTTGCTTCCGGGTTGAGAGGTTGGCCTCATTTGTGACTCGGTTACGTGAGATGGCTGACTGAACTCGGAGAACACCAAAATACAAATTAAAAAAGAGACCAGTAACTGTCGGAGGAAGCGGGGCCTCTCATCCGCCCTTGTCTTTTGGAAAACGTAAAACTTTGGGGTCCTATCCGATGGTTGAACTTGCAGCTTCATTGGGCACCTTTTGTCGACAATTGCCCTTAGAGGAGTAATGCCATGCATCCAAAGAACGGAGGAGGCAAGAATGGACGAATCAGAATAAGTTTGGATGCAAAAACATGAGCTTAAAGCCCGCAGTCGGGGTCGTGTCCGGAGAGTCGTTACAAGACGTTCTGAAGGCGGAGACTTCCACTGTCGCAGAGTGCGGGGAAGCTGGTCAGACTGGTCCGCTGGCCGCCGGATGCCGCCGCTGCCCTTCTCTAAGTGCAAGCCGTTCTGCCGTATCTTGTACTTCCACAGCCGAAATGCTGCCAAGAGGTACTTCCGAAAGATCACCTGGACGGGCTTCTCAGCACGACACGACAGTGGCTGCTTATCTAGAACCAGTGTGCTGCCAACGGCCACCAACGGATCTGCAGGCGAGCTTTCGCTGTATTGCGGCCAGTGTTTTGGGTACTCCTGCATTTGTACTTTATCTAGCTGTCGGTCGTGATTTCCTCTTCTTGTCTTTGCCACTTTCGAATTCCATTTCAAGAGGAAGCTGCGATTGAGCACGCTCTCCCTGCCCTTCGTTCCTTCTTTGTCGACCTTCATCCCACCAAATCTAGAAGGAACTAACAGCAACATCTCCTCTCTGCTTTCCTTATCGACGGTCATCAATAGGCTGGATCTGAGCGGTGTCCTCAAATCAGTTATCGCGGACCTTCAACTTCGCTGCAATGGCCCCTGGTGCTATATCGCCAGAGCGTGGCCCGACCGAGCCTGTCGGCAGCCTGACGACAACATTCGACGACAGGCTTCGCTTCTATCTCAATGGCACAAAGGTCGTCCTGGACGAGATAGATCCTGAGCTCACACTGCTCGAGTACTTGCGGGGAATTGGGTTGACCGGAACAAAGCTGTACGTGAACAAGGCTGACAGCGAACGTCAGTTATAGCTCCATTCAGCACAGTGGTACGGAGTAACTGACATTTTTTCTCCAGAGGATGTGGCGAGGGCGGCTGCGGTGCATGTACGGTGGTTGTCAGCCAGTACAATCCAACGACGAAAAGCATCTACCATGCCAGCGTCAATGCGTGCCTGGCACCCCTGGCTAGTGTCGACGGGAAACACGTCATCACGATCGAGGGTATCGGCAATGTTAACAAACCGCACCCGGCGCAGGAGCGGGTGGCCCAAGGAAACGGGAGCCAGTGTGGTTTCTGCACACCGGGTATCGTCATGAGTCTGTATGCGCTGCTTCGCAACAACGATACCCCCACGGAGCTGGACATCGAAGAGGCCTTTGACGGCAACCTGTGCCGCTGCACCGGCTACCGCTCGATCCTCGACTCGGCACAGACTTTCAGCATCAATGCCACGTCGGGCTGCATCAAGGCTAAAGCCAACGGTGGCAGTGGTTGCTGCATGGATGGGAAAGAGAACGGGGGCGGCTGCTGCAAAGACAAATCGGAGAGCAAGGGCGATCAGCCCATCAAGCGGTTTACGCCACCAGGGTTCATCGAATACAACCCCGACACGGAGCTTATTTTCCCGCCTGCCTTGAAGAAACACGAGTTCCGACCCCTGTCTTTTGGCAATAAGAGGAAGCGGTGGTTCCGTCCAGTGACCCTAGACCAGCTGCTCGAAATCAAGAGCGTGTTCCCCCAGGCCAAGATCATCGGTGGCAGCTCGGAGACACAGATCGAGATCAAGTTCAAGGCCTTCGACTACCCGGTGTCGGTGTTTGTCGGCGACATTCCCGAGCTGCGAGAGTATGCCTTCAGTGACACTCACCTCACCATCGGCGGCAATGTCGTGCTGACAGACCTCGAGCACCTTGCCGAAAAGTCCGCTCACGAATACGGCCCAGCTCGTGGACAAGTGTTTGCTGCCATCAACAAGCAGCTAAAGTATTTTGCTGGCCGGCAGATTCGCAACGTTGGCACACCTGCTGGTAATCTTGTGACGGCATCGCCCATCTCCGACCTGAACCCTGTCTTTGTGGCAGCGGAGGCCGTCGTTGTCGCCAAGGCTAAGGATGCCTCAGATCCCACCGGCGTGGCGGTGAAGGAGATTGAGATCCCAATGTCTGGTTTCTTCCAGGGATATCGCCGCACAGCTCTGCCGTCTGAGGCGGTTCTTGCATCCATTCGCATTCCAATCACTCCCGCCAAAGGCGAGTACTTCCGAGCTTACAAGCAGGCCAAGCGCAAAGATGACGACATTGCCATTGTGACGACAGCCATGCGCATCCGCATCGATGAAGACGGTGTCGTCCAGCAGTGCAACCTTGTGTACGGTGGTATGGCGCCGACGACGGTGTCGGCCAAAACGGCCAACGCATTCTTGATTGGTCGTCGCTTTGCCGATTTGGAGACGGTTGAGGGTGGTATGAATGCTCTTGAACAAGACTTCAATCTTCCCTTCTCTGTCCCAGGTGGAATGGCGTCTTACCGGAAGGCCCTAGCTCTCAGCTTGTTCTACCGATTTTACAACGAGGTCATGGCTGATCGGCATGGGCACGAAGCTGTTGATGGGCCGAACGGCGTGGATGGAGTGAAGGAGCCGAACGGTGCGAGCGGACACGAAGCGGTTGATGGCGCGAACCCCACGAATGGCGTGGATGGGGTTGAGAAAAACGCACACTTTGACCAACAAGCTGTGGACGAGATCGAGAGAGAAATCTCGACAGGTGTGACCGACAACGACGCGGCTGTTGATTATGCGCAAGAAATTGTAGGCAAAGCCAACCCGCATCTTGCCGCGCTCAAGCAGACGACAGGAGAAGCACAATATACAGATGACATCCCTCCTCTGAGCAATGAGCTACACGGCTGCCTCGTTCTGTCCAAGAAGGCACACGCACGCATCTTGAGCATCGACTACGGAGCCGCGCGCGATGTTCCAGGTGTGGTGGAGATCATTGACCGCCATCACATGCCCAATGAGGCAGCAAACCGCTGGGGCGCACCCCACTTCGACGAAGTGTTCCTCGCGGAAGATGAAGTCTTTACGGTCGGCCAGCCGATTGCAATGGTCTTGGCCACAACGGCAGCACGTGCCGCCGAGGGTGCGCGGCTCGTGAAAATTGACTACGAAGAGCTGCCAGCCATCTTTTCGATGGAAGAAGCCATTGAAAAAGAAAGCTTCTTCGACTTCCACCGTGATCTGAAGCGGGGTGAGGATGTAGACTCGGCTTTCGAACGCTGCGACCATGTGTTTACGGGAACCACGCGCATGGGAGGACAAGAACACTTTTACCTCGAGACAAACGCGACTGTGGCAGTGCCCAAGCCGGAGGATGGCGAGATCGAGATCTTTTCCAGCACCCAGAACGCGAACGAGGCTCAAGATTTTGCTGCACGAGTCTGTGGCGTGCAGGCCAACAAGGTGGTTGTGCGCGTCAAACGCCTTGGTGGTGGCTTCGGTGGCAAAGAGACCCGTTCGATCCAACTCGCTTGCATCGCGGCTCTGGCGGCCAAAACTACACGTCGTCCAGTGCGGTGCATGCTGACCCGCGAAGAGGATATGGTGACGTCCGGACAACGGCACCCTTTCATTAGCAAGTGGAAGGTGGGCGCCAACCGCGACGGCAAGCTGCAAGCCCTGGACCTGCGTCTCTACAACAATGCAGGATGGTCGTGGGATCTGTCTGCTGCCGTGTGCGAGCGGGCGATTACACACAGCGACGGCTGTTACAACATCCCCAGCGTGCGCATCCGCGGGTGGCTGTGCAAGACGAACACGATGTCCAACACGGCTTTCCGCGGATTCGGTGGGCCCCAGGGTCTGTTTGTTGCCGAATGCTACATGTCCGAAATCGCCGACCGGCTAGGCATGCCGGTGGAAACGCTGCGTGCCATCAACATGTACAAGGATGGCGAACTGACACCGTTCAACCAGTCCATCACCGATTGGCACGTCCCGCTCATGTATGAGCAACTGCAGAAGGACACGGACTATGCGAGCCGGCGCACAGCTGTGGAAAAATTCAACAAGGAGAATAAGTGGCACAAGCGCGGCCTTGCGATCGTCCCGACAAAGTTTGGCATTTCCTTTACGGCACTCTGGCTTAACCAAGCCGGCGCGTTGGTGCACATCTACCACGATGGGTCTGTTCTGTTGGCGCATGGCGGCACGGAGATGGGCCAAGGTCTGCACACGAAGATGGTGATGATCGCGGCGCAGGCCTTGCGCGTGCCGCTGGACAGCGTCTTCATTAGCGAAACGGCCACAAACACAGTCGCCAACGCGTCAGCCACAGCGGCATCGGCCTCGTCCGATCTCAATGGGTACGCCGTGTACAACGCATGCGAGCAGATTAACCAGCGTCTAGCACCGTACCGTGAGAAGCTGGGTGAGGGGGCGACGATGAAAGACTTGGCGCATGCAGCCTACTTTGACCGCGTCAACCTGTCGGCCCAGGGCTTCTACAAGACACCCGAGATTGGGTATTCGTGGGACGAGAACAAGGGCAAGATGTTCTACTACTTCACACAGGGCGTGACCGCCGCCGAGGTGGAACTGGATACGTTGACTGGCACCTGGACGTGTCTCCGCGCCGACATCCTGATGGATGTTGGGCGCACGATCAACCCGGCGATTGACTATGGCCAGATCCAGGGTGCGTTTGTGCAGGGCATGGGCCTGTTTACGATGGAGGAGAGTCTCTGGCTGCGCAACGGGCCCATGGCGGGCCACTTGTTCACACGCGGGCCCGGCGCATACAAGATCCCCGGTTTCCGCGACGTGCCGCAAGTGTTCAACGTCCAGCTGCTCAAGGGCGTCGAGTGGAAGGAGCTGCGCACAATCCAGCGCAGCCGTGGTGTGGGCGAGCCGCCGCTGTTCATGGGCAGCGCGGTGTTCTTTGCGATTCGAGATGCGCTCAAGGCCGCCCGGGCCGAGTATGGTGTGGTGGCGAAGACGGTGGACGATGCGGCCAAGGACGACCTCGACAGCGACCAGGGTCTGCTCCGCCTGGAAAGCCCCGCGACGCCGGAGCGCATCCGGCTGGCCTGCGTCGACCCCATTATGGAGCGGGCGCGGGTGACGGCCAAGCCCGGGGAGAAGAGCTTCTTCATCTACATCTAGTTATGTGGCTCCAGGGGACCGGTGGCTGCCGCCTGCCTTTGCAAATATTTTATATTATTGGTCGTACAGAGTGGGCGCAGGTGCATGCGTCGCTTTCCACATGTATGTTGTTTAGGGATACGAAATTGCAAGAGCTATCAATAGGGTCAGAGTTCGGTGGACTCGGCTATGCCGTCGTCTCTTAGAATTGTCGTCTATTGATGTGTTGGATTGAATGTGGTCACTAAAACAGTGCGGGAGTGCGAGTAGGGTCCTTTCACACGGAGCGTATTGAAGGCGAGTTGGTTCCTGCATGCACAATAGCGGATACATCTTCCGTGCTAGTCCGCCATAGCAGTGTCTGGTCTGCTTTGCTCCTCCGCACTCTCCCACATCTCTTGCGAGCGTCTGCGACCACATGCATGGAGCTACGAAGCTGCGGGCTCTGTTCGGGCGAGAGGAGGTATCGAATGTAAGATGATCCAACCAAGTACTGCTGCCACTGCCAACTTATGGCGAGGTAGACAAACCGGCCAAATTAAAGAGAGACGTTTGAAATGTAATTACCAAGCACTCAAGCACTGTGCAGCGGAATAGAAGTATCTAGCTGAGGAGAGCAGATGTAGTCAAAAATGGCCATCAGAACACGCGGTTGCTATTCTGCACACCACTGCGTCCTAAGCAACGAATGCACTTTCCTCCGCAAGATGAACAGCTAAAGGCAGGAGGGGGGTTTGGCTACTTCCTTGTCTGCCCCCTGCCCGCGGCTTCCTTGCTTGTGACTGGCTAGCTCTTTCCTACTTTGCCGCCTTGCGACTTTAATGCCTCCTTCCCAGGGCCGCCAAAGCCCATTCGCTTGTCCTAGCGCCCCGCATACCGATTGCAGTAATACAACAGAGAGCAGTGAAGGGCGTGCAGGTGCGATTCTGTCCTAGCCGGCTGAATTTTTTCCTGCTGCTCACGCGAGGCAATTCCTGCGCCAAATTTCGATGCCGTCGTTTTCCCTCCGCCTCTTTCAGGTGTCAGTTGAGGGATGGACCATTGTTCTTCTTTAGCTTTCTCGGCCTGCCTCGCTCGCTTTCGGCCGTGCTTCCCATCCGACCTACTTGTCACTGTGGACACCAAGTCAATTGGCTTTTCACGAGCAATTTGACCGTTTTTGCGACAGCGACGACAGCAGCCAAAGTGACGTGATAGTCTTTATTTGTGCATTCGCGCATTGCCGGCATTGCACTTCGACAGTCCATATCCGGTATTTCAACGCCCGACAGCTGACATGCGTTTGGCAGCTTGACGTCTGACGCCATCGTGGCTGGTAAGGTCCAGCATCACCGAACCCAATAAGCGCCTCCGGATTAATTCCTCATTTTTATTTTATTCGAACACCTTGACGCGAGTGTGATCGTCACAGGTTTGCCGCGCTCTGTCTTTCCGATTGGATTGCCAGCTGCCTCGCTCGAGCGTTCCTTGTTCGCCCACACCCCTAACCACCTGCAGCCAGCGCACCACGCGTGCGACGGACACAGACACAGACGGCCCGCCACAGCCCACGCGCAGACCAGACGGGCAAGGCGCATTCTGAGTTGTGCATCCCATAATTTTGGGTCTTTTCATTGCATTCTTTGCGTAACCATCCCTCATTGCCTACAGGGCAAGAGACCCAAAGGGAAAGGGAACGCCAGGGAGCACGAGGCAACAGCACTGTGTTGCTGAATCACCCGCAGGACACGGCGCGGCCGCAGAGAGCCCACAACACCAGGCCAGCGAGGGGAGGATCCATGGGAGCCCGGCGGTCTGCGTGGATACACCAGGCACCGAGGACACGAGCCACCGCCAGGCTACGGCCGGTACGATAGAACGGGCGGGGGCATCGAGAAAGGGCTCCGCCGTCGCATCGTCGACGAACGCTACGCAACGCAGAGCATTGCACCGAGCGCCCATACGGCCACACAAAAACACAAGATGGACAGAGATCTTTTGCACAAGACGGCCACGCGCATCGCGCCCGCTGGCGAGACCAAGACCGAGAGTAATGGCAACGGCAATGGCACCGGTAAAGGTAGCGGCAGCAAGGCGGCGTCAAATAACGACCATGCTTCGGAAGCTGCCGCGGCCGACAACAACAACGGCAACGGACGCACGCCAAAGAAGCGCCGCAAGGTTAACCATGGTGAGTAATTGTGCGGCGGGAAAATGTCAGGAGAAGGCGAGGAAAGTGAGCGCGCGTGTGCATCCCGAGCTCAAGACGCAGTCTTCTCAGCCGTGTGCCCTTTCTTCGGCTGCTCACTGACCCCTGGCCTCGTATCCAGGCTCGCCCCCTCTCCACAACATGTCTACTGCTTTACTGGCTAACCCCTGCCTGCAGCTTGTGTATATTGCCGTCGATCTGTAAGTTTATTCTGTCCCAATTTGAAGACTGCGCCAGGGGGGTTGGGACCCAGGACTGGACCTGGGAATGGACATGGTCGCTCCAGTCGAGCCTCCTTGGGCTTTTTCCCATCTCATTCGATCTGAAGGCCCCCCGGACCGCAAGGCGGGAAAATGCCAATGCTGCTGTACCGTAGCTCTCCACTGGCCGCCTCGGCTGTCCCGCAGAGCAGCAGCTCATCCGAAGGCTGGAGCCTGCCGCAGTCATGCCACCTTCGAATCGCCTCATTGCTTCGGTTTTCTGTATTCGGAGACAGCTTGCTAACAGGCATTCTTCCATCTGTAGCATATGACTTGTGACCTGGTACGTGTTTTGCTCAGTATTGGCTTTTGTTTTCTGCACGCTCCGTCGACCCTTGATCCGGGATGTCTACCCGTCGACGCTGCAACTTGTGCTCAAGCATTCGCAGCCTGCAGCCCCCTTCCCTTGCTCCGTTTGTCCTCCCACACCTGTTGCTTGGTCTTCCGACTGCGCTCCATGCGTGGCATTTTGCCTTCTTCCCACTCTGCCATCCCTCGTTGCAAGCCGATTGCTTGCTGGTTGATTCGCAGTGGTCATCTACTAACTTCGCCCAGGAACGGCCATGTACGAGATGCATCAAGCGCAACATCGGCCACCTTTGCCACGATGAGCCGCGCGAATCCGAGTCAAAAAAGTCCAAGAGCACCGTCGGCGACACCTCCGTGGCTGACGAATCTGAGGACTTTACGGATCCTCGCGCCTCGTTGAGCACGGCGACTGGCAATCCGAGTGCCAGCACCAGCGCAAACGCAGCCATGCGGCCGCCGTCTTTCGACACGGGACGCGAGGCGGCCAAGAATGCCTTTGCTGCGGCTAGCGTTCTGGGCCAGGCCAACCCAATGCAGCTTGTGCGACCCAGTGCTGTTTCTGGAATCCAGCCCAATCTCATGTCTTCCAACGACGTGAGCCAGTGTATGTTTTTGCCTTTCTGCCGTAGTGTTTGTAGCATCTCCTGTTCTACCCTGGTCTTCCTTCTCCTTCCGTCAAGTGCACTGTTCTTCCCCGTAGCCACAGCAGGCCCATCGTTTCTCCTCCCGTTCTACACCCCCTTGGACGAATATGTTCCCAATTTTGCTATTTTTTTGCTTATGTTAAACACGTTCTCCCCCGGCGTGTCCTCTCAAGCACCCCCTTTTCTTCGTTCACTGTCGGGTTTGGTGAATGGCCGGGATTTTGTTAGGTGGTCCTACTGCTCCTGTCTTGCTGTGCTCCGTTCCCCGTCCTTTTTATTTTTGACCTTGTTCCGCGCGGTTCCTAACTCTATTTTAGTTGGTGGGTTTTCCGATGCGTGGTTGACTGCACAGAACCATTTCCACGATATGCACGACCATTCGGGCTACATGATTGTTCCCGAGGTCAGCGGCGAGCTGCAGTTCCTCAACGATTTCCTCCAGAGCAGCATGGTCGATGATGCTGCCTATGTATCAGATGACCAGAGCAACCAAATGCTGCGCAGCGCGCCGCCCGACGTTGCCACAAATTTCTTGACCAGCGGCACTGGCAGCAGTGCAACCGCAACCGCAAGCGGAAGTGGAAGCGGAAGCGGAAACGATGGAAAAGCAAACGTACAAAACGACAACAGTGCGGCTCTGGCTGGCAATGTCCTCCTCCCAGCGAGCGCTCTGGGAACCGGCGCCGGCGCAGGGTCTATGCTCCCGCCCGACCGGGCCACGTCCGTTGCTGCTGCCGCTGCCTCGGGTGCCCTCGACATAAGCAGCCTCACAGATGCGCCTTCAACACGCTCTGCCGCTGTGGATAAGGCACGCGAATACTACTTCCAGGCCGCCGACCCATCCGGCAACGACACCCCCGAGCAACGCATGTCCGACCTGCTCAAAGCAAAATACGACGCCGGTCTGTTAAAACCGTTCAACTACGTCAAGGGCTATGCACGCCTGCACACCTACCTCGACAGCCATAAGATCGCGCCAGCGTCGAAGCAAAAGATTCTGCGCCAGCTCGACCGCTTCCGGCCCAAGTTCCGCGAGAAGATGCAGGCCCTGACCGACTTGGAGCTCATCTACGTCGAGATGTGGTTTGAGAAGACGCTCATGGAATACGACCGTGTTTTTGCGAGTATGGCTGTCCCGGCATGCTGCTGGCGCCGGACAGGCGAAATCTTCCGTGGGAACAAGGAAATGGCCGAGCTGATCCACGTGCCTGTGGAGAGTCTGCGTGACGGCAAAATCGCTTTGCACGAGATCCTGACGGAAGAGTCCATGGTCCGCTACTGGGAAGAGTTTGGCACCATTGCGTTTGACTCGGCCCACGATACGCTCCTAACGGCTTGCTCCATCAAGAACCCCAGCGATTCGTCCAAAGATCCAATCATCAAATGCTGCTTCTCACTCAAGATCCGGCGTGACGACCATAAAATGTACGTCTCGTATTGTCCTTGCTCTATTCAGCCAATGTTATCAAATATACTAACTCTTGTTTATCTTAGCCCAAGTTTAATCGTTGGTAACTTTCTACCACACGATCCATTGATTAACTGATCGAGAACGTCCCCCTTGCGGCCTCTTTTCTGTCCACTTTCTGTTTCATTTATTGCATTTGTCGGGTTTATTTCTGTCTTTTCGTTTTGTCGATTCCCCTACAAAATTCTCCCTACTTCACCTTTCCGAGTACATAATCTCATTCTCCGCACTGTGTTCTTTCTCTCTTCCTTTCGTGCAAAGGGCTTGGAGTCCACGGGCTTTGGCCAGGTATAATTTAGGGCGGCTGGTTCTGCACTCTTTGTATATCCCCGTTTTAAAATGACTTCGTTGTCATATGTTATGCTTTCCTTTGTGCTTTGCCTCATTCGCATCAAAAAGAATCCACTATACCTTTCAGGATTTATATACTTTCACTCTCCGTCATTTTCTCCACTGTCTATGTTACCTTACTGTGTTCTCTTCCGTCTCGCTGGCTTCAACATTCTGGCTCACGCACCTCTTATATGAATCTCTGTAGAACCTAGAAAGGGGTGTAGCAGCCTCGCCCTACAATTAAAGGAAGTTTCATTGCCTTTTTTATCCTTTAGCTGCTCCACATTCAGTGCGATAGCTCACGTGTTCAAAAGTTTGTGCTAAGGAAACCGCGATCAACCCGAGACGGCATTAACGAGACTCGCGACTGCCACTTCGGACCTTGACCACAGTCGCTGCTTCCTCATGGCTCGTATTTTTAAAACCGAATTTGCATAGCCTTTGTCCAACCCCCTTTTTTTGTTCCACGATATAAATTCGGTAGTTTTTCTCGAGAAACCTACTTCATGACCTGAAGCCTTATCAACGCCGATCGGGGACGTCTCGCGATCATGACAGAAACGGCAGTCGGCGCAAACGTCGTGCAAACCGCCGGCTCTAAACGCAAAAGGAGTCACATTCTAGGTATGGCTGCCAGTTTGAGATCTTCTTTCATTGAGGACTTTTCTGCCACGCTGACTGACCGCCCCTGCTAGGCGTCATATCTGACCTCGAGCGCCGCCTCCCCTCAATCAAAGGTGATACAGTAGCGGCGGCGGCGCTTGCCGACTCTGTTCGCCGCCAGATTCTCCAGAAAGATTCGAATCAGTTCAACGGTGACGAATCGGCTCATAGATCTGCCGTTCTCCTGTGGAACCTTGTTATTCGACTCGAACGCGACGCAGAAAAGACCGCAGTCCCTACTGAGTACAAGAATCTCCTTCTCCACAGCCGAGTGCTCTCTTTTGTAGTCATTGACAAAAGAACGAGCTCTGATGCAGCCGGTTCCGTGGGGAAGGAAGAGCCATCCGTTGCGTCACTTGTACTGTATGCTCTCAACGTCGCAGTACGGGCAGCAAAGGCGTGCATCGGTAAGTTCATGTCTCCTCGAACAGTTGGTGCTTCAGACAATTTTAACTAGGCTCAGATGGAGAAGACACGGAACTTGGCCATATGGTCCTCGAGAGGGTTACAAAGTACAGGCAAAGATTGGCCAAGCTTCTTGCCAGTTGTGATGATGACAACTCCAAACGTCTCAAGCCAAAAGCCGACAAGCTTGGGATCAGTCACCTGGCTCTGCAGCTGACGCAGGTAATGGCTTCTGCTGCTTATTTCCCGGAATACGATACTGTCTCCTATGCTGACTCAATAGTTATGGAGAGAAAATCGTCCCGTAGATGCCGACCGACTGTACACAGAAGAGATGAGCAACTTGAGAGAAGACTCATTTAACACCGAATCTCTAGAATTCATGGCTGCGGCACTCTTCCGCATCGGAAAGTCGCTCCTCTCCAAGAGGGATTTTGCGTCTTCCGTCACATGGCTAGACCGAGCCAGAGAATCACTTTCCAAAATGGACGAGACTACGTTGTCTTCAGGCACGAAGGAGCTCCGTCTCTCCGTCACATATTCGCTTGCTATTGCATGTCTCGGTCTGCAAACACCACCCGGAAACATGCGCGCCAGGGAGCTCACGCATGGCCTACGAACTGTCGTCACGAGAGACAACGATAGCCGGGTACAACTGATCCAGCTGGAGCTCCATGCGTCATCACTATCAGAAAGCTTCGATGCTACTGGCTATGCCGACATCCTCCTCCAAATGATCGGTGCCTTTAAGTCGTCTTTGGATGAATTTAAGCTGCTACACTTTCACATTCAAAAACTGCACAGTAAAAGCCCGGGCCTCGGATGCAAGGTCCTCGATGAGTTCATGCTATCTTTGCGCCATAGGGACGATGTCATGGAATGGATCGAAAAGTTGATCATTACGCGTGTCTGGTTACTTGCACACCAACGTGAAACAAAAGAGGAACTCGATGCAGTTCAGAGCGTTCTGTCCAAATTACGAATATCGATTGGAGCCGACACGGCCTCTGCAGCTCAGACGGTAGGTTCTCAATGATCACTCCAGAAGTCAAAATGATACTAACGTGATTGTGCAGTTGATATGGAAGCGCATAGAGCAAGGGTACCAGGAGAGACTTTTTGCAACGGCTATTCAATGGTGTCGCCTTGCCCTGTGCCATATTTTTGAGGCGAGTGGGCGGGCCAATAGGACTCTAATCGAAAGGTTAGATCTTCTCGACTATTGAAACTTACTGAGGAGACCTTTTCTAAATCCTGGCTTTGTTTTAGGAAACTTCTCCTGTGTTGTATTGAGATTGGCGACATAGACACAGCCAAATCTGTGTTTGTCAGCATGCCAGAAGCGTCCCGAGACGAGCCAATGACAAAATACTTTTTGTTCAAGCTGGCCATCAAAGCGGACGACTTAGAGATGGCGACCGACTGCTTGAGAGGAATAACCATCTCCGCAGAACGGATGAAGCTTCTTCACGCATGTGTTCTCTGTGCAAGGCACGAAAAAGCACCGCAATTTATGGTTCAAGCAATGAAAAGGCTGGCAGATACAATCAACCACGAGCCTTCGAATCAAGTTCACGCACCGGCTCTTTTCCGCTGCACGATCCTCATGCTTCGGGACATGGTAGATGGTGCAAACAAAGATGGATGCAACCTGGTCCGGGATGGCGAATCTACGAAAACATCACAAGCAACCCAAGACCTCGCCGACATTTTCAACGGTGGCACGTCATCCAGCCCAGAAACTCAAACTTTTTTAAATAGTAAGCTAACAGTATTTCACAGTCGTCTATGCCGTGGAAAGTGATCGGAGTGCTCACACCGAGGTGGGTAAGGCCCAGTTTACTATGGATGAGCTTGAATGGTTTTGCAGAGCGGCGTACAACCTGGGCCTGAAATATTCGGGGACATTGGACCTGCGGCACACTGTGGCCATCCTGGAAGCGTGCGTAAAGATCACCACGCTGTTCCCAGATGACCAGGAGATATGTGCAACTACCGATATATCATCCAAACGACTCATATGTCGATTCCTGATCGCATCTGCATTAGCTGCTCTGGTGAGGCGACCATCTATTTCGGAGTCAGAAGAACAAAGTCTCAAAGATTGTCAAGCCATGCGCGAGCATATTCGGGCATTCCATACTCAGCTCAAAAAACAAGGGATTGGCGGAAGCGCTCGTTCATCAGACCTTTTGAGAAAGTCGTCCGTACTAGTTGTGTTTGATTTTGAAGGTGCCATCCGTCTTGGCGACTGGGACGATTTGGAGGATATCTGCGAAACAGCCGCCTCCTGCCTTGACTTGGACACGCTCCGCGTTCTTGGAGACTCTCTTCTCCGGTCCCAAGTTCATGTACCAGGTGAAAGTGGGTGGCATATAAGCTTTGCAATTCCCAACATTCCCTTTATAATTTTCCTTGGTCCTGATGTTGTCGCTTTACTGACAGTATATTATAGAATTCGTCTCAACAATGCGCCTCATAATCGGCAAACTACACAAGGCGGGTAGCTTCAACGGTGACAAACTCGTCAAATACTACCGTTGCCTGTTCCAGGCGATTCTTTACCGTGGCCATGATGCTGCCTTCCAGGTAATAGAAGAGGTCAAGGAGATGATCCGAGCCGGCTTGAATTCCGAGGTAAGATAGCTTGCATTGGGCGCATGTTTACAGCGTACTTCCCTAAATAAAATTGAACAGTTGGCTCTCAGACAACCTTGTGCTAACCACAGATACCCAGGGTGCAACAAGTTGGCCAGAGGATGAGCTTCAGTTTCTTGCGGCGATATCGTTCAACGAAGGCATCGACTGGTTCGCTGTTGGCCGCGAAGACCTTGCCCGACAGTGGGTTCTTTCAGCAGCCAGTTTGGCGGACCAGTGCCACGACGGGGGCGCACTCAAGACTTTGATCAGCGCCAGGTTCGGACTTCTCAATATCGGTGACTTGGAGATCAAGGAGTCCATCGAGCGAGACATTCACGAGACTGCTGATACAAACGGCACAGCGCCTGATGACGACTCGACTTTTTGATTTTGGCGTTTCTGAGGTCGGAATTCAAGACTGGACGACCTACTCCGTTTATTCGAGCCTGTCAATTTCATATTAGCACTCTTAAATCAGACACCGACGTCTCACTGCTTGTCTAAAAAGGAAATTGCTCGTGTGAAGACTCTGCGGTCAACTTAGCAGCTCGACAAGGGTACGGCTCGGCCGGCAGAGCGGGTGCAGCCGCAAGCAATCACACGATCAAAAGGTCCTGCTTCTCCAGTATGTGGTAGTCGCAAAGTATGTCGTTTTCCCTCAACGCAATAATTTCGATTCGCGCCCCGTGAAAATATGCGACGCTCGCTGCACAAGCCAGGATCCAAAACCGGGAACCCCACCTAAGAAGGATCGCTGCCGCTGCCGTTTCCGTTGACCGAATGCTGCCGGGTGGGGGCGCATGCATTGGCTGACAACCCTGCAGACTCAAGACACAGGAGAGAAGCGTACCTCGAGTGGCTGTGAGTGGCTGCAAAGGCATCCAGCGTGTCTCGGTACTCTGCGCTCACCCCCACGGCAGCCCCTCTGAGGCGCGCAACAGCCACTTGCTTACACGATGCATGTTTCCCGGTTCGACACCACGGCCGCCTGGGTGAATCCGGAATTTAACGAAAGGATCAGAAACGGCTGACAGTATGTCTGGCCAGGTTGCTCCTAAACATTTTCGTTGTTGTCTTTTTGTTATGTAAGAGGCATTCTGTGGAGCGTTTGCAGTGTACTTTCGCCGTGATGTCTCATCCACCATCAACGCGTCGACATCGGTTCCGCTTGTGTGTTACACGTCGTCCCAGTCAAGGTGCCAGTTGTCTCCTCTCGCCCCATTCCCCACGCCAACGGGTTTTACATCTGAATCGTTTGACCGACCAGGTTCGAGGAAATTGAGACAATTATGCCGCACAGAGTGCGTTGTTCAGGTTTGCTCTGCTTTCTTCCTTTAGTTTTACGCGCATGGTCGGAATCGAAGCGCATGTATTCTGTAGTTGTAGTTATCTTACGTCAGTTCTTTGTTTCCAAGTTTCTTCAGTGAGCGACAAAATATGACTCCCCAGCTTGCAGCAAACGTACACAGTAGGACAAACATTACCCCATCTACAAGCTTTCCAAATTTAGCAGCTGCCGAAAAGGCACCGGCCAGGCCACCACAGTGAAACGCAGTGAGCGGAATTAACGCCCTGCAGGCCAAGCTGCACCTTTGCCAGCTCAGATCTCCCGCTGAGAATGTGACGCGACGGCATGGGCGGGATGTCATTACGACGTATTACACGGTACGACGCAAGTACATCTGGGGTCGATTGACTATGCTTTCTTTTGTTTCCCGGCTCAAGCCCGGATAACTGTCATATTTTACATCTTGCTCTGTGGGGGTGGTTCAAATAGAACGTGATTTTGGCCGCACACCCGACGTCCAAAGCGGTTGCTGCTCACGTGTTGTACTGCCTGGTACTTGCCATGACGAAGCATTTTTGCCCCTTGCTCACTTTCTTGCCAATGATGCTATTGGTTTGATCGCGCCTGCCCTGGCATGGATCTCACTCTGCGTACGACGTACATGTACGGCTTAATTTGTGCTCCTCCCTCGGCATGCCCAAGTTACTGGAACACGGTGCCGGTCGCCTTGTTTGTGGTGTGGTGGCAGCAGGTAATCTCCATGCTGCATTACGCAGCCTCCTCTTTCCGTGTTGTGTTCTCGTAAAATACTTTCTCATGTCGATGTTGCACTTTTTCACGGTTAACCAACGTCCGTCTCCCTCCTCGGATCCTTTCCTTCATGACAACTATAATACATAAAATAGATATGTAAAAAAAAGACAGGGAGGAGGGAAGAGCCGGTGAAAACCCTACTGAATCGTCACGAGACCTCGTCTGGTCAGTAAAAGAACTTGATCACTAAATACAGAACATTTTGTGGCCCGCCTAGGTCCGGCCGAACGCCACCACGCACTATGGGATACTAGTCGAGTTCATCCATTCACCTTTGTACTCGCCTTGTCTTTTTGCAGACTTGACGGTCCAGCTCAGGACTGACAATCCGTCCACTCCGAAACACGCGCTTGTGCTTGTAAATGTTTTTCGCGCCTTTTACGACAGACGTGAGGGTCACGCTTGCCAAAATAGTTCAAGTCCGAGAGTATTACAGAGCGAGACTGCGATCGAAAAAATGCACTATTAGCAAGAACAGATCTAAGGAAGGCGCAACTAGCAGCCATCTAAACTCTTAACCTTGGAAGGCGCAGAAAATAGTAGGAACCAAGGAAAACCCTCCGTCCCTCGTTCTTCCTTTGTCTTTCATCTTTTTCCAATCCTTTCTTCCTTCTCACACATCTCCTCTCTGATCAACGTCTCCCATCCTCCCATCCTGCCACTTCTCACAGGATCAGCTAAGCCATTTCCTCTCTCTTCGCACCCTTTCTCTGGACCCTGGCCAGAGCCCCCGCTTTCTCGCCCCTGCCCTGTCTCCTCCCACGCCCACATCCCACGTTCTAGGCAAGCTGTCTTGCGACCATGCATTAACACAAAAGCCATTTCCGCTTTCTTCACCGACCGCTAAGGACCGCCTGTAGAAAAAAACATACAGCGACAAACAGCGATCTTTAAACCCAAATTTTCCCACCTCAACGGTCAACGGCTGCCCATCTCTCTCACTCATCACAAACCACCACACATCGTCTCGTTCGAATCCTTCTCGCTGTCGAAAAGCTGAGATCGGTCACCTTTTCGTTCATACTTTCCATTTATACCTCCTTTATCCCTTCGATTCTGGACAAATTCAACACGATGCTGCTCCAAATCTCTTCGCAGTGTCCTCTTTCCTAGGGGCGAGCAGATGCTCGACTTTTCAAGCTGCTCTCGCTTTGTTCTCAGAAAACTCGACTCTGGTTCAAAGCGTTGTCCCCAAACTGAACATCTCCATCTCGATCTTCGCTACATTGCGTTGGTTTCTGTTCGTCTTCTGAAAGGCTTGCCGTCCAACTCGTCATCGTCCGACCAACTCCGACCGTCTTCCGCCTTCCATATTGTCTGCTCACCCCCAGATCTCCGGCTGTGAACGTTTCGCCTTTCCACCTCACTTGTTCTGTCTGATCCTCTCTGCGCCATCTCTCATTTCAACACATGGCGACCAACGCCGACGACCTGCAACAGTCCTCTGTCTTCGACCCAATGGAGCATCACGACATGACCATGCTCACGCGACGGAGCACGCGATCATTTGTTGAAGACGAACTCGAAGCCGACGTACGAGAGCTCCGGCAATCATCCACAGAATCCGCCAAGAGTTTGGAAAGCCAGATCAGCCAGCCATATCCATCCAGTCAAACGAGTCAAACGAGTCAGACGAGTCCGTCGAGTCAGTCGAGTCAGTCGAGTCAGTCGAGTCAATCCAGCCAGTATCTAGACTTGATCTCGAGCGCAGGACAGCACGGACTGTCAGTACGCACTTACATGGACTCGAGCACGGGCGCGTTCAGTAGCGTCGCCAGCAGTCGTGCCAGCACCGTCTCCTCCTCCTACTCCTCACTGTCAACACCTTCCAGTGTAGGTGGCGACGCGACCCCGGTCGAACTTGACGAAGGTAAGCAAAAAGAAATGAAACGACTGATGGTCAACGTTCCTTCTGTCGACCTGTGCCCACTAACACGATAAATCAGATGCGTTCCAGAATCTTGACCTTGACATCCCAGAGGTATCGCCGGGAGCGCCAGCCAATTTTGGCTTTGTGATGCCGGGCCTGTTCCGGGGTAGCTACCCAAAACCAGAGAATTACGACTTTCTCGAAACACTGAACCTGAAAACCATTGTGTATGTGTACCCAGCCATCTCCAAGACATGCTCCTTGTCAAGCGGGCCGTAACTAATCATGCATGCAGCACTTTGGTGGATAAGAACTACACAGATGAGTACCGGGACTTTATCGACCGGAATCACATCACCCACCACATGTTTGCAATGAAGGGCACGAAGAAGGAGGATATCCCACTGGCGACGATGGAAGCCATCCTGAACAGTGTCCTTGACCGTCGAAACTATCCGCTCCTAATCCACTGCAATCAAGGCAGACACCGGACAGGCTGCGTGATTGCCGTTTTGCGCAAGATTGCTGGCTGGGACCGCACCGCCGTGACAGACGAATACCGCGCCTACGCAGGCAGCAAGGTGCGCGAGTGTGACGTGAACTACATCCAATCGTTCGCCTTGTCCAGTATCGAGAAATTGCTCGCCAGAGACGACCTCGACATCGACGAGCTCATTGTCAACAGCCGAATTGGCGGATCCTTGGTCGGCCGGCCCCCTCCGACCACGGTTGGATTTCGTGTGCCCAACTTTTTTCGCGCCAGTTTCTTTTCAATGACGGTGCTGCTCATCTGGATGCTGTCGGGATCCAAAATGTCACCGCCAGCACGGGCATGAGCGCTCAAATGCAAGCCGACACGGATCGAGGATTCAGGTCACAGAATCGAACAATCCCCGCGGCTTTCTGTATACCTATTCGGGAACGAAAGAAAGAAGCACGGAGTTTCCTGCCTCAGCCCAATATTTAGAGGGGTTGTCCTTCATTATGCTCTTCTCTATCCCTTTGCTTTGTTTCAGCTTTCCTTTCTGTTTTTTTATGTTTCATTTGCTTTCTTTCTGTCTTCACCCGTTCGGATCTGATCACAGTTCAGCATCAGAGACGGTTTGTATCAACGAGGAACCTGAGAAGACGTATCAAGAGCTGAGCAGTCTTCCTTCCGTGAAACTTGGAGCAATACGACAAGAAGAAAAGGCGGTTTTAGTTATCTAAGCATCCTACGGCGTTGGTGTGGTTAGATTAACGCGCAATGCGTGCCACTATTTTGTTTTTGTTTCTTATTCTCTAGAGTTAACACTTTCTTTTTCCTTTTTGTATTCTTGTATTTTATACCCAAACAGTCCATGTGACATTTTCTTTTGTGATTTCCATTTTGTCCTGGGACGTGAATATAAAGTGTACGATATACATCACTGGAGCA